AGTGGCGCGCATGTCATCGACGCCTTTCGCCAGCGTGGCTGCTAGTCCTGCTGTATCTTCATTTAAGACATCGACATCGCTAAAACAACCTGGTGCTGCCACCTACCGGTGGCTCTGCATTCTAAAAAAAAACTCTTTTCTTCGCATTACAACCATACGGCACCGTTTCTGGCACAGCACCTACAGGCAAAAGATTATCTTTCGACGTCGTTTGCAGCGAAACATGCAAATATGCAGCCAATGTTTTCCTGGGATTTTCTCATTTGTTTTGCAGTCATCTATTTTCTGTTCTATAGTCTCCTTGCTACTGTTTCTTTAATCTTTTCAGCTCCCAGTTAGGTGCATCCAACTCTTACTACCAGTCTATCAGTTCTATCTTTTTTCCTTCCGCAGATCTATGTCGCGAAGTTGGCATTTTGTTGTCTCTTCGCAAATTCAGAAGGACCAATTAAGCGCTATAGGCCCGACCACACAGACGCATGTAGGCTTAGATAGATTTCAGCCCGGAGAGGCACTACTAGTTGTAAAGCTACTGGCGTAGCCGTGCTAGCATTCCCTTTACATCTTTTGTCACGCACTTCATGGGGTCGTACGGAAAGGAAGGTGACCCTCATGACGACTTCGTCAAGCCGGCGACTCTGTTCGTGAATGCTTGTCCATGTGATGTGTTTTGTTGTTGAAACGAAACGTCTTGACTGCCTGCTAGAACATGCAAACGCAGCCGCTGTTCGCCTAATGCGCCCCCACGATAAGGTAAACCTCTATTCCTCTTACAGATACTGGCGGTATGCGAGGCTTCACGTTGTTACGACAGATTGTCAAGTTTCGCGTTGCGGAAAAGTGTGTTTGAGCCTCCGAAGTCAACGTGTTGCTTCTTGCCCCTTCTGCTCATAGCGTAAGGAAATACAACAGATCAGAGAAAAACTGCTGCCACACTCAGGAACTCTTTGTTGTGGAAAAAAAAAAGCAGCAACAGAATAACGAAGAAGCATTGTACGCTGCTGTAGCAACGTGATGGGCTAACGCTTTACACAGTGTGCCAAGGGGTAGGCTTGTTTATGACTCAACTTCAGAGATGCGCTACTTTCCCAATTCCTTCCACAGACATTATTTCTCTTCCGGAGCATGGAGATAAAACAGAATGGGAGGCCAGATAGCGCCAAGATGCACCATTTTGTGACTCAAGGAAGCTCGCACTTGCCTTGCGCTATTATCGCAACAATACGGGCAGAATCTGCTGGCGTTCCTGGCACCTCCCCAGCAAGCACTGGAAAGAACCCTACCGTGCCTACAAACCTATTCGGTGAGCATTTTGTTATGCGAGAACCTAGGCTGTGGCCTGCTGCCAAAAAAGAGAAGCGTCTCGTGTGTTCGCTTGCATTGCTTTGGCCCCCTTTGCTTGAGCGATTTCGGTGCCGCTCTTCTGCGCAGCAATACAGGTCACAAATACGAGCTCTCGCTAACCAGTACGCTTTCGTTTACGCGGGTTGCGAGAAAGCTGATGCAGTGAAAAAAGTTAGTTGCCATCAAAGTGGAGACCACTCCAATGGACTAATTTTCATTCTCACTTTATTTCAGTCCTTTCATTTCATGACAAGGAAAGCTCCCCACCCACCACCTAAAAATGTCAATATTGTTTACTATATTTGTTGCTAGTGCGTTCAACACTCCCGAAGTCAAGCTAGCTGCGTCCCGGATACTTGACAGAGTGTTAAGAATAATATTTTGAGAATGAATTCACGAGGTAACTTGCTTAATACCAATGAATTCACCTCCTGATCCACAGAAGAAGGTAATGTTGATGTAGTCCAAACACCTTCTTTGAACTTGTCCTGAATTTTATATTCTGAAGGTCCGGTTATTTTAACAAAGTCCTCATTTTGCGTCTTTAGCGGACTTTCACCTTCCGTTCTCACTCAGCAACCAAGAAGCAGGGTCAATTGAGAGAAAATCTTTAAGAGCGCTATAAAATATACAAACGGGTGAAGTCACAATAGCGCTGCAAATGATGAACATGCAAGCTGAAGTTCGGGCAGTACGTCGTTGGCATAAGCAGTGGTACACAAGGATTTACCTCTGAACCAATCAGCCGAATCTATAGCTTGGCCGTACACTAAGCGAACAATTTCTTATGAAAGAGCACCAGTGATCGTCGAACGAACAAACGGCGACATCAAGGAACAATGAAGGGAAAGCAGTGGGCACTGCCCCCACCTAGGCGGAGAGCTGAGCAGAAAGCCGTCGGTTGATTGAAGGCATCGTATACTTCACAAAGCACAGCACACGAACAAACACGAGTCGAGATGAAGATAGGAAAGGCGCTTGTTCTGTATTCATCTTGGCTCGGTGTCCGTTAGTACGTTATCCTTTCCGAGGTACGATGAACTATACCAGCACGCTCAAGCGTCCTCTCTTCTCAACTGAGGGCAACGGCATACTAAACCACGCTCACGTTTCCTCATTTCAAAGAACACATAGCAACCCCGTGCACGGACGATTGTCCATCACGTAGTGACATACTTTTCGCTGCAAGCGCTACATAGGAGTAGCCGGAGACCACGCTTCCGAGCACATACATGGAAGATCAGCTATGACGGCTACAGAAAAGCTGGCACTGCAGCAGATCTGTGCCCAAGAGCAAGTGCTGTCAAAAACACACTGCTCTTCAACAAGTTTATTTTTATTCTTCACCATTTATTGTAATACATGTCCTATTCCAAAGACATCTGGCAAACGTCGACAGTGTTGCAGAGACGATGAGTCCGCTACGTAATTTGTAGAATTTTTCACATAATGGTGCCCTCGATGTCCTTATTACATGCTTTTGTGCCACAAAAAGGCTGCTACTAAAAAGGTATTGACATATGTTGAAAGTAAAAAATGAAGCAACCAAGCCAATGCTAAGTAGGTCAAACCAAATAAAGTAAAAACATTACTTTCACCTTCCAGGCAGTATGGACTGCTGCTTCTTAGAACAGACTACATTTAAGCATAATTCTTTCTGCAGTACCTTCTAACAATGTGACCCAGCATTGACAGACTTAACATTGTCACTGCTGTAATGGTCCCCTCACTAAATTCATTTTAACAATATCCCCCACTTCGAGAATTACTCCCATTTCTCATCAGTCAGCATTCCGTTACACAGCCGTTATCAATCTTCCTCAATGCACTTCTCCCTGTCCGCGACGCCTGTGAGTACCCTCCACCAAGTGCACGCCTATCACAACTTTAAAATATTTGTTTTCGGAATCACTGGATCGATAGTTCATAACATGATGCCAACTACAATGTATATCCTTTATGTATATAGGCTTTATTTTCAATGAAATAAGTGAGAGCCACTAGTGACAACGAAAATGTAAGTGAGAGGCCCAAGCAAGCGACTTGAAAATTCACCCGTCAGCCGCTCGGGCGAGGTTTCAATATAGCGTGAAGTAAACAAGAAAACATAAGCGTATGATCGAGTGACCTTCGACTTTGTGCGCTGAAATTTCTTCGCGTTATGTTGTGATCCAAGCTATGCGTTCACACAGTATACAGACAAAACTAAAAACAGAGAACAAAGGCGTTGTCAATATTCTCTGTTCCTGAAGGGAAGTTACAGTTTCCGGTATACTGTTGACGGCCGTTTCGTTGATAAACAGTGTTTTCGACGACGGTCGATGCCAAAGTTTGGAAAGTTTTCCTACTGCAATAAAAGCGAACAAAATTTCTCTCCCGTGATATAGCACCGAAAGCAGAAATCTGGCCAGCCGATATACGGAATCCAGCTAGTTTGTGGTCTTTTAATGGGCATTTTATTAGCTACTTCACCATTCGCTATCCGCGGTGTAACCTAATGATATAAGAACCGCAACTGGTCGGAAGTAAGTGGCTTTTCTATCAGCTTCTATTTAAGGCAACAATTCCGCAAGGTCCATTTGTGGTCCCGGTCATCTACCATAACTCGTATAGACTTGTTTGCAATTCTTTTTTAAATGAATTTCTTCGCGGAGCCTGATTGGTATGAGAATATTAGCTGCATGGCTTGGCTAGTGAAGGTTCGTCGTGCAAATGTACAACAATTAACAACGCATGTGTGTTACCTAACCCCACGCTAAGTGTGGTCTCACTTCTTTCATTTTGTTTCTTCAAGCACGGCCGTATACTGTGAATGCTAAGAAGTATAACAATCAAGAGGAAGCCAGCATAAAACACAACAATAGTGTAACTGAAACTTACTAATACTAAATGAAAGGGCCACTGACCAGGCTCCCAAAATGCAAAGAAAAGAGCGCAATATATTTTTTCCTGATATTTCTCGTCCTTTTTGGCGCACTACTGTGACGCAGGCAGTAGTTTCTGTGACTTCTACAGCATGCATGCTCTCGATTCGTTGATATACGCGAAATATCACATGTGATTTGTCTCCTGCACTGCTCTGCTATGCAGCCGCCCATCTGATCTTCTTTGTCTCGCATGAATATCGCGCACAATCAACCGATCAAACTTCATTTTTTGTATTTACAACTGCGCAAACGATAATAACAGCGTGCGGCCGAGAAGCGCGAAATCTATGGGCTCTGGCGCTTAGTGCTGATAATGTTCCCGCGGATTCAAGATATAAAGTCAAGGAGTACGCATCGTGTGTATAAAGGAGAGGAGAAAATCACCCTTTTGTCTTTAAACATGGGGTGGTGAGTAGCCCTTCAAGACAATTTAAGTACTATAAGGGCGTAACCTAAATTAATACCAAAGCAAGTCTGCTAATTTGCCTTGGGATACTGTTTTATGAAAGCCCCAAACTGGAAATGACCCTAAATGTAGGCAAATAATGGTGAACCATGAGAATATTGTATGTCGTATCATCTATCTTGTATCATGAGGGACCTTGTACCACGATCAGTGGCCTTCCACTTCAATGTACGCCGACAGAGGTATAAATCGTAGGAAAACCCACAAATTTTCCAAAGTTTTCTTATCTTTTTATTTCGTTATGCAAGTGCGCGACTTATGACTTGGGGATTCCGGCGAAGACCATCTCTTCAATGCCACATTCACTGCTTCCACGAAGAATCTTGAAGAAGCCTGCGAAGAAAAACACAACGAAGAGACCACGACGCAAGTGAGAGACGCAAGGAGAACGCAATGTCACGCAATGTCACGCAATGTCTTCTGCCCTAATAAGACTGAACGTACTTCGATCACTACGAGAATACGATCACGGGGGTGCCAGAGTAAAAATCATAGAGTTTCCTAAAGAGGGGACACTGGCGCTGCGATCGTTGAGCAGCTATGGGAACTGTATGGCATAGATTTACCCAGCCTTTGTACTTGCGGGCGGCAAACACGCTTGTGATTTCGTTTATCACTGTGTTTTGCTTTTGTTTTGAAGGAAAGAACAAACCGTTTTTCACTTCATGACCTGATTCGAAGTGGTAAGCCAAGAAGATTAAGGTAGGGGAGCGTAGCTGCCGAAGATTTGCATATGTTGTTTTGTGACAAATCAGCTTTAGGCCACGCGAAGCCAGAGCGAACTTAGAGTATGAAGACCAGGCAAATCCATGTCATACCCTTAATTCCCATGATCGCTGAAGTTCTATGCGTGGCAGCTCCCTTAGACATTAGCGCTAGAGTTCCCCGTAGAGTATATTTAGGAAACTCTACGGTAAAAATAACTTGGTCTATAGACTATTCATCCTAAGACACATGGGTTCCGCCACCTTTAGCTGTTAAGCAGACGTTTGCTTAGTTTTCGTATACAACGACGTAGATTACTACGGCCAATAAACATCGTATGCACCAACCCTGCCGTTTTAATGCGTATTCGTCCACTGTAACACGATTCGTTTTGCTGTTAAAGATGCAAAACACAAGTATTACTGGCCAGATATGGCAGCACTGCAACCCGTCTGTAAAATAAACTGAAGTTACTCGCGGGTTCACCTCGCGACCAAATATGGCCAATGCTCAGCATAACGTATGTTGCAGTTGCCAGAGCGTTCAGCCAAACCAGCTAAACCAGCTTCGCGCGTTTAGTTTCCACTCACCATTGTCGCCCCAGTCGGTGTTCCAAGAGTTGGCCACTAAGCCAGTAGGGAACACCACCTTCAGAACCCCAGCCCAGAATTTTCACGGCGTGCATTCCAACCTTGCTGGCACCGGAGACTGCGTGCTGGTAAACACCTGCGGCGTGTGATGTGTACGCGGCAGTGTGTTTAAGCCTTTTGAATGGGTGTAATGAGTACATTAGGCGTAGCGCCAATAAACACTTCAACGACGAGTACACAGAGACCGGAGGCTGCTTTCGTGGACAGTGCGTCTCTAAGCGTGCACGTCACCTCACGTCGATTTGAGCCACGTTATGCCGGAACACATATTCCGGGAAGGAGGCACAAGAAAAGTGTCCCGCGAAATATAGTGAGCAGTTTCCATTAAAAAAGAGGAAAAAACTATTAGTGGGGGAGGGGAGTAGAAATGTTTACTCACAACTCAATAAAGTTTACTCACCAACCCGGTGGTCTAGTGGCTAAGGCACTCGGCTACTGACTCGCAGGTCCGAAACCCGGCCGTGGCGGCCACAGTTTTCATAGAGGCGATAAGGCTTAAGGCCCATGTGCTTACATTTAGGTGCACGTTAAAGAACCCCAAATGGTCGAATTTCCCAAAGCCCTCCATGGACTAAGGCGTCTTTCATATTCATATGGTGGTGTTGCGACCTTAAACCCCAATCATTATTATAAATAAAGTTTACTCAACAACACCAAAAACATAGTAAGTAAGAGAGACACAAATAAGCTTGTTTGGATCAGAAATTCGTTATGTGGAATGTGCGTGTTAGTATTATTCTTAAAGATAAGAGTACGTGCATGTTGCGCATGCGTTTTGAAAAGTTTGTTTTCATCGAGAAGTTCATACACGCACTGGTTATCACTGAAACGCACAAGTAGCGTTGTTACTCAGTCTACCAATACACCCAGCGAACTAAGTTGGATTTTCCGCGACACTGTCGTTCTCTTCTATTTCACCAACCTTTTCGTCTATCTTGTTTCGCCTACTTGGCGAGTTTAAACCAGTCGAACCATTAATCATTCCATTTGTTCAAACGGTACGGATCATCTGTACTGCCATGGAAAAAGAAGCAGTGGGCACACTGATTCGTTTTCATACTCAAACTGCACATCAGAGTCCTGGTTAGCGAATAGTGGTGAGTCGTGTTGGAAGAAGTTCAAGCTTAATGGACGGATAACACAAATGATATTTTAGTGAACGGATGAACGGAATAACACACACAGAACGGATTTCTTGTACCTGCATTGTAGTTTGTGCTTTTTGACGCCGAGTTATTGGGCTTTGTTTTTCGACTCGAAATCGGCCTTCCATAGCATGCAGCCAGTTGCCGCGAACAGTTAGCCTACGAGGTTGTTAAGCTTCACGTCAAAAAACAGGCCACGACGTCAATTTTCAGGGGCTACCTGGTCATTGTGAGATCAGTGGCCACGATACCACAGACAACACGGCTCACACATCCCACCAAGAAAAGCACACCCTTCCAACTGCTCTGGAAATGACAGACGCTGCAAGGCAACTTTGTCACCTGGCACGTAGTCTGTGTCTGCTGGAGTGGAACACCCTAAGCATAAGACATACAAGACTCCACGAAATAAACCTTCAACTGAAACTTCGACTTAGATCCTGGCTACGTCCACGTGAAGCTTAGCTTCTTCGTCGGCTTTGGTTGGGTGTCCTTCACGAGGGCACAAAAAACCCTCATTGAAGTGACCGACAGTGCGGCGTGCGACGTCTGCGGCACCGAAGAAGATATGGACCATCTGCTATGCCGTTGCCCTAGACCATCTGCTATGCCGTTGCCCTCTGAGAGAGAATACTTTTCTGACACGTTGCGACAATTGCGACAATCAGCGACAATTTTTGTGCAGAAGCTGGTGGAACACCATTCTCCCCTTTCGTTGGCTCATATAAGGCAGTGAAAGCGCCCTTGCGCTTTTTGAGGTTTACAAGCCTATGTGAACGCCTTTAAATTTTGAGTAGTGCCACCACTGCATACGCTTCAACCTACTGACTGCGATTTTTTTTTGTCTCTTCTTCTTCTCCTTCCTCTTTCTCTATCTCATCTTTAAACTCCCCTTTCCCGTTTCCGCAGCGTAGTGTAGTAAACCAGGCATGTGCTGGATTAACCTCACTGCATTCTCTCTAGCTGTCCTTCTTCCTCCCTGACGCCTGATTCGCGAGAAATGTATCTTTTCTGCCCAGTTATGCAGAGATGGAGGCAATGAACACCACGGCTATGTCATTTCTGTTTCCCACGCAGCAAAAACATAAAATGGCGTAAAAGATGATGGCGTTAAATAAATATACACGTATAAAAGTAAGCCTATAGAGAAATTAATACTTCAATTCGATGCCTGAAATGTACGTCCGGCAGCTCAGAATCGCGCACCTGCGGCAATAAAATGCGTCGCTCAATAATAAGCAGAGAGAAGTGCGTGACGATGAACGCGAAGTGTGGGTTGCCGGGGGCATACTTGTGACTCGAAGCAGCGATGTCACTATATACCGACCGACTTATCCGAACTAATGATGACAGTAACCAACCTTCCACGAAACTGTCTCACGACGATGTTTACGCTATTTATGAAGTGTTGCCCATAACGAGAAGTCTTAATGTCGACCGTAGCAGAGCCACAAGAATTGAAACGCAGTAACTTGGTGCGAAAAAAAAATGGCGTGCTGAATACAGAGGGGGAAAAAAGAAAAAGAGCTTGCATGGTTACGGTTATATAGTTACTTCAAACGAATTTGCAGCTAGAGTTATCATCTGTTGTGTATTTTTTTACCGTACACACTGAGATAATGACCGTACTTTCTTGCGGCGGAACACATATCTGATGTTGAAGGAGCGCAATAATTGCGTGGGAAAAACATTGCGGAGAAATTATTCATACTTAAAACAGGGGGAGAGAGGGAGAAGCAATCAAATGGCTTTAAGCTTGGGATTCTCCGACCAGTCCCTGTAAGCTCAGAATATTACCTCATAAGTAAACAACGCATAAAGTGGCGCAGTGTAATTCGAAACTGTTTCTACATTCGTGCGAATATGTGTGCGTGATTGCTTGCGACCCGCAGAACAGAATGCATAATTTTTCTTGTTTTTGTTTTACTACATCGTTTCGTTTGTGCGAAAAATGAAAGACGCTGTCCTCCGGTGACTATCCTTAGGTTATGCAAGCTATTACAAACCAGTTAAAATCGTTATTCCTTCGCTTCAATGTTTAGCTGTAACTGAACCGATCCTGCTGAGCCAATACGAAAACCATTATAAAAAAATGTTTGGCTCGACAATCTGCAGAGTGGTGCCTTCGGACAAAAGCGTTTCAACGATAAACTCCGTCCCGACAGTGTGTCGTTAAAAATATGTTTTGCTGCAATTACAAGCGCATTGCCTTAAAAGTGGGAGAAGTAACCGAAGCAATCGATAATCGGCCACCTCGTGGTGTCAGGAGCCTAGTCAGACGTGTAATAACATGCCTTTTGCTCCGGTACCATGACAATGCGTGTTTCATGTCTTGTCAAACCTGCAAAAAGAACTTCACACTTTTAACTTCCAACCTGTTTATAGCACCAAGACTCAAAACAATTAATACAACGGATTTGTCAGAAAGCAAAGCTTGTTCGCCAACAGTTCGCCCTGGTCCGGGGATTGAACCTCGCGCGATTCCAGAGAAGTCATCGGTAATATTCTTTATCCTCGTTATTCGACGTGTTGACTGGTTCGCCCTCATGTTGACATTTGCTAGCCGCCCGATTAGCTCATTTGGTGCAACGTCTGCCTGCAAAGGCGTTGGTCTATAGTGTTCAATCTACGACCAGGATAGATCTTAGGGGCGAAGCACGTTATATGACCGCACAATTTCCCTCCATCTATAAAGAGCCGTCTAGCGCCTACAGCAGTTGTAGAAACTCAAACATCTGTGAACAACAAAAAGGCTATCAAGAAAGGGTTGACCGGAACACGCAGAATACAAGGCCACAACGCCGGAAAAGCACCGACATTTAAGCAACAATAAATCAAAGCACATGACACAACAAAATGTTAACAAGAACAAAATAAAGGCTGTTAACCAGAACCAAACAGAAGACCACGATTAACCAGACCAAACAGAAGACCGCTGCACACTTCTTCGTTCCATCATCAACATTGACTTCGTAATGCGTGTATAGTCGAGTACCTAGTACTCTAAATCGTTAAGAACTTTTTCTAAACATCTTTTTCTTCGAATAGGACGCTTTCCTTTCTGAGAAAGCCGCGGGGACTTTCTTGTGGCTTCATGCTACAAACATGTGGATGTCTAACATTCTTTTGATATCTCTCCTCCCAAATTGTGGAACTGCACAAAACTCATTGATAGGGCATTTAAGGGCGCGAAAGACGGGACGTATAATGTAGACGACAAAGTACCAACAGTCTTTTTAGGCCAATGATGTTTAAAAAGAATTTTAGAGCCCCCTTGCTCTTAACAGCAGCGGGATGCCATGAATTTGTGGTGGAGGGTTTGCTCCTCCAACTGTCTTTCTTGATACGAATTAAAGACAGACAGCCAGTAATTGGTCTGTTTCCTACACTATGAGTCCAATCGTTCGCACACTGCTTCTTTCTCTCTCTCCTTTTTTTTCAACAAGCAGTAGTCAAACCATTTCAGCACATTACCAAGGAAAAAAAACTGACCATTTTTATAGTGGAAGAAATCGGTGTAAACATCCATGCCTGCCGAGACGGGTCCATGCTTGAAGATCTCGGCCTTGATATGACTTTCGTCCTTTTGGACGTGGTAGACAGTCTCCGCTGCAACGGTTTCCATGTGTGTGAGGGAAGTATATTTAACACTTCGAGGCGAGAATGCGGGCTGGTGAAAAAGCTTGTGCACAAGAAGTGATCGCCGTACGTAGATAAAAAAAAAGAACTATGGGCGACCAATCGATGTTTCACTTACGTCATTAATGGCGCTAGCTATCTATTAGCGTTTGGTGAACTATCGGCTCAAGCGGTGTGTTACATTCTTGTTTAGCTTAGTAGCACTTCTGGTCGAGCACTTCTTTCCGGTTTCCCAAGTATTCCGAAAATGTGATTTGAAAATAAAGCTGGTTGAAAATCGATGGTTCTCGCTCAAGCTACCAGTGTAATTGGGTACGTGTGACATTGGAATATATGTTTATTTACAGATAAGGACAATTAACTGCCAGGATGAATAACGAGAGAAAAAAAGAATTATTTTAGTGGGGAGATGAATAGTTTTGCCTGGTTTTTCACCTGACAGGCTACTCCTGGTACCGAGTGATGACAATTATGTATAGAATGATAAACACAAAATACATAGAGTTGCATACACGCATAACAGTCACATAACACATACAACCACTCACACGCACTGCACTATTTACAACGTTTCGTTCAAGCCTGTGACCCGTAAGAACCTCAGTGTAATTAATGACAATCAATATAACTAGTATACTGAAACAGCCTACGGTTTTTTTGTGAGCAGCTGGGTTTGTTGCGACACCTGACGAAGCATGCCTCAACCACATGCTTCTTTTTACGTGAGTTCCAAGGTTCGCTTCGGCAGCCGACGAAACACAAGCTTATCCTTAAGACACCCTTGCACTCGATCGAATGCCGAGGTGGGACTGCCACTACCAGACAACTAAGTCAAGAATTAAGATCACCGCCAGAATTTTCTTAACATCATGTAGAATATCGGCAGCCCTGTTCATTTTGAACTCCTTGACGAGTTTTTATTTGTTTTCTCTCCTCCAAGTTTTCGTCCCGTAAGTTGTAACCAGCCGAAAGTTTTCATTGGTATAGTACTAGGAATGACAGCCAGCTACCTCTTAGTACATGCTTTTTTTAGAGCTATGCTGCCAGTAGTGTAGCCGAAATTTTCGGGGGGGGGGGCAGGGTTCAATTATACTTTATGGCGGTCGTGCGTGTGTTTGTATGTGTGCGTGTATATATACGCAAGCGAAATTTTAAAAAATTTGGGGAATGTTTCAACCCCCCCCCCCTCCCCATTGGCTACGCCCCTGGATGCTGCTTATGCGGACCCAGTGAATTCGAAGTTGTTGGCGTGGTCACGCTAAGGAAGGTCATGTGACCACGGTGCAGAGAAGGCGTTTGATGAGAGAAGGAAAAAGAGGTCTCGTCATGCAGCTTACGAAAGGTGAACGGGTAAGAACTGCATGGTACTGAAAGAGCAGTAACGCCGCGAAGCTTATAAGTGAGGTGGGCGATTGAAACAGTGGACTACAGGGGAGCCGTTTCCCCTGAAATAGAAGAAGGTAAACTGGCGTGACCGGGCTTACATAAAGCAACAACAAAGAAGTGACAGAAGTTACGGTGCACAACGAAAGAAGAGACTTGAAGAAACCGAATGAAAGGGGCGTGGAACTACTTAGACCTTTAGATGCGAAGCAGCCTAGGGTCGAGCTCAATCTGGTGTGCGGGTGACCACCGTTACTGAGCATGCGCTTTTTTTTTTCACTCCTCTCCTACGTTTCCACCATTCTCGTCGTGCGATGCCGAAGCAGGCAGCGTCTACTAGCGAGTTTCTTTATTAAATAAAAACCTACTTCTCACGCTGCACAACCGTTTGGTGGCCACTTCGTATATATAGGCACTAAATCTTGAGCTCCAAGGTAGTGCCGGAGGGAGATTTCTCCTGCGCGTTGTTGAACAATAGGCATTCGCAGTGTGCGCGTTAACTAAAAGCGGACTGCGGGTATCTGCGTCTAATGGGAGTCGTCTCTCTTTCATTGGACGTTAGCAGCGATTGACATGTTCCAGTAGGAAACACGGGTCCATCGCTGCGTGCATTGCACCTCCCAAGGTTTCTTTCCTGCGAAACGCCGCGATGAGCGTCCGCGTCGCCGCCAGTATAAGCTAAGTGTCAGCGCCCGCTGCTTCGCATATACACATGTTTCCTTTCAGTGGGAGATGGCGTATTTCTGTTTTCCACCAGTACTCACCGTAGTACTTGTCGTCTGCGTAGTCGCGCTCGTACCCTGATCGACAGCGATACACGCACTGGGGCGTCGGCGGGTCCGTCGGACACTCGGGCCGCGGTCCCGGCTCGCTGTGCTCGCAGCGCTTGAAAGGGTACGGCTTGCAACCGTCGTCAGTTCCGTACAGCCCACCGGTCACGATGCCGTTATCTTGGTAGTACTGCCACGCGAAGCTCAAGTACCCACCATGACACCTGAAGCGCAAAGCAGAACATCGGCGGTGGCCATTCCAAAATGCATCAATATTCAAACGCATGTTTCTCTCTGAACAAAGCTTAAAAAAGCGGCGAAGCTTTTTCGCAAAATTAGCTAGGTTGTATATTATTAGCGAGTATAACCATAGGAATCATTTTGTTGTTGTTCAGTTCCAGCCGCAAGTACATCTAGAAATTACGGATATCAAAAAAAAAGCAATCAATCTAGAGTAACATTGAAGCAAGCAACACTGCTATTATTACATGAGTTGTACTTGGACCGAACGTAGATATACACTGATGGATCTGTCTCGTCCAGCAGCTCATCAGGTGCCACTGTAATTCTGGCTGCAGCAATGACAATCAAATTTAAGTTGTCGCATGTGACTACATCTACGGCCTCAGAGCTTGCTGCTATAAGGGCTGCTTTACAATATCTCGTTCAAGAGCGTCCAGGAAAAAGGGTCATAGTCTGTGATTCGAAGGCAGCGCTTCAGAGTTTGCAGTCTGCCATGCGTAGGAGGAATCATGAATTGGTACATGAAATAAGACATTGCCACCATGAAGCTCTAGCACGAGGGCGTGATATTATATATCAATGGCTGCCTGGACATATCGGTGTTACCGGAAATCAATTAGCCGATGATGCAGCCCGCTCAGCCCATGAAGACACCCGTGTGGTCCCAATTCCTCTATCAAGGAATAATGCAGCAAGACAACTTTACCTGCTGGCTCGAGATCTTACACGCACGTTCTGGTCGTCTACCAGCTTCCATCCTTCGCTCAAGATACAGCTACCATCACAACTTTCCCGCTCCGATGCGACACTGTTATGCCGCCTTTGGTTGAGTGCTGCATTCACAAAGGTGTACTCCTTTCTCATTGGTATGGCAGACACCTCTACATGTGACTCCTGCGGAGCTGAAAAGACCATTGAACACGTCCTGTGCAGCTGCGCTTGCCACGACACACAGCGATGCCAGCTCCGGATGGTTTTGAATCAACTTGACTCCAGACCAATTTGTGTGCAGAAGATTCTAGGACCTTGGGCATCTGCCTCAGTTGCGCAGAAAGCTACTAAAGCATTATTTTACTTAAAGTCAACAAACCTGAGCGACCGCCTGTAGACTGTGTGTGCTCCCCCGAGTGTGCTCGTGATTGTGTGTACCTTCTTATCTCTCTGCAACTTCTTTTCTCTTCTTCATCTCTTCCCCACTGCAGGGTAGCAAACAGGATGTGCGTCTGGTTAACCTCCCTGCCGTTCCTTGCATCTTCATCTCTGTCTCTCTCTTGTTCCGTACATGAAGCCAGCAAACAATAAAGCTAAACATTATGAGTACCGATCAAACATGCACGTACCTAATAAAATGAGTTCATATCTGATTGACTATACTTTGTACACTATAGTAAAGGAAAGATGCTCCGGTAAAAGTAGCGATCCCGGTATATTGAAAACACAAAGGATATTGTCTAATGTCACTGTGGTTAAGAAAAAATGAAGACAATAGAGAGCGGTATATATTCTGCTATGTGAAACCGGTAAGTTGTTCCGTAAAATAACGGGTTCAGACAGAAAAGCTTACGCGGCATACCTTTAGGGAGTTGTCAAAGTGATGCGTAAGCATAGTATTTTACTTTACGAGCGGCATTAGCAAGGCATTGGTCATCTCTTTTTTGTGTTTGTTTGTTTGTTTTATTGTCAGCGTCTGGAAGAAGTCTGACGAAAGGACCATTTGACGATCATAGAAACGCCTGTTCGAAATTAAGTTTTCTCAACATTGGAATTTATTTTATAAGTGCAATGCTCAACGTCGATATTACAAATTGTCATATATAGAGGGAGTTTATTCTATCATTCTAAAATATTACAGCTCAGTGTCCACACAAAGCGTTCGGCTATTAAATTCTTGTTTGTATCGCCCACAAAACGCGTCATGCTAGAAAAAAAAAAATCGGTGGACACTTGAGCTCTGCCTCAAGAGTAGAGCGTTAAGGCGTATTGTGACCCTGGTCGCAACGCTTTCTCGATCGGTAGCCTGGCCTCACTTCTCGACCGTGCCGCAAGCAAACAAAATACAGTGCGCGTAACATTCGCCGTTTCCAGCTATCTACAAGACCACTCCAAGAACACTTGCACAGTTACTATACGCCACATTTCTTTCTTTCGCAAATTGGCTAAGTACTTACCACGCGTCCATATAAGCGACACGGGCACTGCGCAGCTGTACACGTTGATCACGCTTTGACACTGTTTAGAAAAAAAAATCACAGCAGATTCACGGAGTACATGGTGATGAGTGGGGCGAAGCGTTCGTCAGTCCATCTGCACTTCCGTCCGTCCGTTCGTTCTTGCTTCCGTCCGTTCGTGTAGCCGTCCGTCCGTCCATCTCTTCGTCCATTCATGCATCCGTCCGTACGACCGCTCGTCTGTGCGTCCGTCCATCTCTTCGTCCATTCATGCATCCGTCCGTACGACCGCTCGTCTGTGCGTCCGTCCATGCGTTCGTCCATCCATGCGTCCATCCATCCGTCCATCCATCCGTGCGTCCGTCAGTGCATCTGTCTGGCCGTCCATTCGTACATCCGCCCATCTAGTGAACACGCTAAGTATCGCCATCTCGCATCTTTTCATCAAATATTAATTATATAGAAGTACTGCCATCCGGCGGACATTCCAAGGACTAAACGAGAGGTGGCACGGCCGGACTGGAGGAGTGGCACGAGCCCACTTTCTTGCAGCCTGCGCTTCGTGTCTGAGACATGTCTGAGACAGTACGGGACATTACAGGCTTTCGTCCTAAAATGAAGAAGAAAACGAGCGGGCAGCCACCACCATTTAAGCTTTTTGGACTGACATAACCAATAATTGAGGAAAACTTTAGCTAACCGTCTGTACTGACCTAGCGATAAACAACGAGACCTAGGTGTTAGCTTCAGTGGTTGATCCTCTGTGCGGACTGCTTGGGGGGCGATTATTCTATTTGTTTTTTCAAGCTGTGTGTGTATGTGTGTTTGTGTGCGCGCGCGTGTGTGTGTCTGTGATGAATATACTAACAAATAAGACGTTACGTTTATAGCCATACCTCACATTATATTGGTACTTATTGTAAGGATAAACACGAACCAAGTTTTCTAAGAAATAAGTGAATGAAACACATTATAGTCATATGGTGTTGATGATGGCAGTTTTTGGTGGCGCGAGGGTCAAATCTTGTCGAAGAGTGCCAAGACACTGAGTGCCGATGAATCAACGATCCGCAGAAGACATCTACATTTCAGAGACACCGGTTTTAATTCGGATGTCAGTATCGGCTGTTCAGGTGCCGAGGTAAGCTATAGGCGTTTATATATTATTGGTAAGAAAAAAAAAGCAACGAAAACAGTGATCGCACTGCTCTCACTTCGTAAGTACGGAAAAATACATAAAAGCTTGCTCAAATAGACACATTCACACATAAAAAATAAGAGAAGCTGAGAGTCATGATATTAGACTACGAAAAATTGAACTACACGTAATTGTAACAGGCTATTGAATCGACCTTCTTTCAGTATTATGGCAATAAAAAGTACAACCATCATCGTCATCATCATTTTCATCTTTATCGCGAATACGGCAAAATAGCAATTATGTAGGGAAAGTCCGCACGATACCATAATACTAAGAGTCGTGCTTTGTTGTTCAGGGACAAATACATACATTCGCAAATCTGCTCAACAATCTGAGGCAAGTGTTTCTATAACGAAATACGGAAATTTACACACCACGTACGTTATAATGGAAATGCGACGCAGAAGGATTCATTAAGTGTAGCCGCGTCGACGGACGAAATTCATCATACTGTCCGCAGTAGACCACCGAGAGACGCGCCTGAGGAATAACCAATGCATTCACACGAACAGAACGCACATCAACCCGGTATATCTAAACAACCTGTTTCTGGAATTGTACCTTGACTGCAAATGTAACGTATGTGGCGATATAGCCGGCGCCCTACAGCACATACATTCTGACATTGCGAAACAGGTAGCAAAAAAAAAAAACAGCTCCCCCCGGATGAACAAAGGACGCGGTGGAGATCCGCAGTGACAAGTTCAGATCTTCAAAGCCAACCTTACACGATCCAGCAAGCCCAGGAAGGTACTGAGAGACAGAGTCTTTCCACTGCTCTATGCACGTCAAAGATCGGTCTACCAATTGGCAGCATTTTCAATAATGTGGTCTCAAATACGCGCGGACAGCGGAAAAACACTGAATCGTCACCGCTGTAATTACGCCGAGAGATATGCCGAGGACCTGCCACAGAGTTTCACCTCCCCATGTTGCCAGAAACCAGGGTATGCAGCTAAATTATTGAGGAACGCACCTGTCATCTTTGTCCCCTCCCCATTCTCTCCTTTAAACAACATCTAAGACTACAAATAATCAACACCTTATTCCCTTCCGACGTTTCCCAACTGTTCGGAAGAATTCATGACGCAGTTTGCGATGTAACGCCACGAAGAATGAAGCTTTCAATTGGTTCACATACAAGAAATATCAGTTGTGAATTCGCTCCTATACCCTGCTTCAATTTGGGTGCAGTCACACACAAGTTTAATCTTACATCGCATGGCTATCGCGCGTGAGCAACTGACTTTTTTTTTTGCGTTTTCGGTTACGCAAGCGGAGATACCAGCGTCAATCCGAAATGCACGATGTCCTGACAAGCTCGACACTTATCGTTGGCATTGCCAACGTGATTTATGAATACGTAGGTGACGAGGAGAAGATAGTACTTGTAAAAAGGGCGTTGACGGCGAGAAAGGAAAGACTTTGTCGTCTTTGAATCGGAGCAAGACACCTGCGGTTGTGCCATTCGAGCGGAACAATACTGGCGCCACCCAAACACGGCTCCCATATGATTGCAGCATGCAAGAAAAGCTCACCCGTAGCCGCAGTTCTTGCAGCATGACAGGAGGTCCAGCGCTGATATGTTCACCTTGACTTGGCCCTCGCTGTGTATGCATATGCGATCGGAGATGGGTTCCACTGCTCCGAATGCCTTTACATGCAAAAGAGTAACGTGATTAAAGCCATGGTATGCTCCTCTGCACAATCAGCGCTCTATTTTGTTGCCCTTTTGTCGCTGTTTCTTGACTTCTGCAGCGGATAATAAATATTTATAAGATGCTCTGTTTACTTACTATGAATACCGAAGTGGTGATAGGTGCCTGACTTCGTTATGCATTCGGGGTAGTGAGAGATAATGAAAGTAAATAGCACGTACCCAACACGATCCACATACACTCTGGTCGCGAATGAGACCAATCGTCGTACAGGTGGGCCAGTGCTTCCGAGCGTCGAAGAACTCCGGCAGCTCCAGAGAAAGGTCATGTGTCTTGACGAGCATCGTGTCGTTCTCCGCTTCGTAAAGTAGCCCGAGAAGAGCCTCGAAGTACGGAATTGTAATGTTCTTGTGGAAGTTTCTGCCAGCCTGCGCAACACGGAGAGAGCAAGAGGAGGGTAAACTACTGTTCTGAGCTATTCTCAGCAAGCGAAGTGCACACCCTAGATGGGCGGCCTCTTCGGTTTGTGTAGCCAAGTGCCAAGGCCATGTAACATGCTTGTAACATCAAACTGCACCGAGTCTTCAAATCAGGGTCTGATAGTTTGGCTCTTTCGGTGGTATTGGGTTGTCTGCGGTTAGGGTTAGTATAACTCTTCGGTGAAAGAAGGACGGAATGAGTGTGGGGGAGGAGGTCGTGTGCTATCATTCGGTGCCAGTAAGGTCCCTTTTTTTTACTGCGGTTTCTTGTAGACAAATACATTGCTTCTGTATATTTGGAGCCTCATGTATACTTCAGCTAATTACGTGTAGCTTACTCTTGCACTTGCTCTTGCAAGAGAACGCACTCACAAAAGTTGCCGTATTTCACGCGAAATTTAGCTGATGTGATAACTAAACTCTGCCACAGCCACCGCTAGCCGCTGAAACATTGCTTCGTGCGTGAGATTCGTGCAAAATTCCTGTTCGGAAGCGTGAAGCGGGTTATAGGAGGTGCGTGGGATGACATGAATATATTCAACTGGACAGGATGGAACTATTTCGGGACATGTAGCGTTCCATACAGGGACGATGTGGGACTCGGTACACTGCATGAAAAGTCGGGACTGTTCCGCGAAATCCAGGACGGTTGGTAACCCTATATATGGCACCAAGTGTTGGCATAAGATGTCTGAGACATTACACTGCACGCAGAATATGAGATATAATAAGCGACTTTTGAAAGGGGAAAAGGAAGAAATAAGCGCTGTTTGATTACTGCCTCTCTCAATGAAGGGCACCTCCACAGTACTGCGCAGGGCATGGGGCTGAGGAAAGATTAAAAAAAGATAGGGAGGATTTAAAAGTATAAAAATAGAGAGAGGGGAAGGGACATCCACGTACGGAAGTAAAGAGAAGATAGGAAAGATGGACACGGTCGCAGAAGTCCGAGGACGGGGCACCACTCAGCGAGAGCTCTCGTCGGCGTCAGAAGATGGCGTAGGGCGAGCCAGTCATCCAGAGCTGCGCTGTCATCGGAGATCGCGGGGGCACAATCGGTCGGCACGAAATACAGCGAGCGAGTTCCAAATATGAGATATTTGGTGCAGTTGAATACGCAAACTTGGGTATTTGCAATGCTCCGAACGCTACTGCCTTTTTTCTAGTAAAGTTGGGATTAGGTGACAGAGACAATAAGCTAATTTCCCGTTATGACAGTTGATTATATGGCACACATTTGTGTGCCATATAAGCAAACCATGTTTATTTGTTCTAAACCATGTTTGTTGTGTACATGTTTGTCACAATTGAAAAGTCTCAAGATATGCGTCTTATAGCAAGCAACACACGAGAAACTTCGATAATAACTGGTTGAGCTCGCCATAGGACACGTGGAACTTGTTGGCGAAGATGCAAAACCACCACCGTCTGACGTGATAAACCATTACTTACGAGTACCATGTGTTACCAAAAGAATTCAATCAGGTGAGCAAGATCTGGTCTTTTTATATGAAGTTTGACATCAGATTATTCACCAAACAGAAAGGTCTCCTCTATTCTATGTGCACGCAAGTATAAAACCATAAGACCGATGAAAAAATGTGTGCAAGGTGCTACCAACAGTGGAACTGAAACGCAGACTCGCTCGCTGGATTTCGTGCCGAGCGGTTGTACCCCCGCGATCTCCGACGACAGCGCAGCTCTGGCCATCTGGCTCGCCCTACGCCATCTCCTGACGCCAACAAGAGCTCTCGCCGAGTGGTGCCCCGTCCGCAGACTCCTGCGACCGTGTCCATCTTTCCTATCTTCTCCTTACTTCCGTATGTCGCTGCCCCTGCGCCACGCTCTCTCCTTCCTGCTGTCTCTATCTCTATACCTTTAATCATATTCTTTTAATCCCTCCTTACCCCCATTCCTCGTGAGCTACTGTTGAGATGTCGCACTGTGATGCAGACAGTTGTGGGACTCACTCTTCTCTTCTTTTCTTTTTTAAGAATCACATAACAATCACAAAAGAACCGAAACAAAATGTCGCAGAATATCCACGAATAGGCGTAGCACCAGGGGATCATTTGCCCCATAGCAAGTGCACTCCATGACCATTAGAGAGAGAGCCGGGGGCAAGCCCGTTTTATAGCTCTTGGCCCGCCGCAGCAAGACAGTGTGCCACGAGCGTACGCACGATCATCGTCTTCCTCTTCTACCTACAATCGGCGCGCTGGCGGCTGGCGCTCCCAGCACGTGTTGGCCAGGACAACGTGAACCTACATAAATGGAACCTTCAAAATTTGATTACAATACTAACCTAATATTTTTACGTTATATTTTACGGCTTGTCAGCCATGTACTGTAATAAGGCTTTACATTATTTCGCATTCTTTAATTCATTTCGTATCAGCAACACAAAATCAAGAGTTATATTGCCATCCTTTACTGTTGTGTTGTTTGTTTTTTTATTGTTCAGCTCACATTGTGTTACCACTTTTAACGATGTAAAACGTTCTTAATGTTTTTTATGTGGCTGCGATACAGCCAAGATGTTTGTTTGTCTTAGGTGTCCAGGGCGTTGTCAAGCTGTCGAAAGATAGTTTTTGTCACGGGCTTCTCGGCTATCATGATTTGTTTGATGGCGAATATAAGCTGAATTACCGGGACACTAAAGAACAGAATAATATTTGATTGATTGATTGATTGATTGGTTGATTGATTGATTGATTGATTTACCTATATGTGGGATTTAACTCCACAAAACCACCATATGATTATGAGAGACGCCGTAGTAGAGGGCTCCAGAAATTTCGATTACCTGTTTTTTTTTAACTTGCACCAAAATCTGAGTGCACGATGTTTCGAGTATTAGTAAAGTAGAATTTCACAATCTCGCAAACACCACTTTAACCGCAACACGACGCTTAGTAAAAAAACGATCGAAAAGAAAATGCAGGTGGAGACGCCACCATGAGATTAACGCACCAAACATCAGGGCCTCACAGATTTTTGAAGGCATCTAATGAGTCTTACGTAGCTTCTAATTGATATAAATGAAGTACATAGCCATCTGCGGGTGCCATAGGCTTAGAATACGAATTTTCCGAAAACTTCATCGATCTATATATTGTTGCGAAAATACGAAAAAAACATTTTGAATTTCTTACTCACGCACGGAGATTTCAGTGCGATACTTAAAAAATGAAACTTCAACTTTGATTTTCTCCGCTAAGAGTGAACTTATGATAGTGAAACATACGCCAATATAGTTATCAGAGCGCAGTTTGCCAATCTAAACCAAGTTATCGTTTCTCTTTCGCGTCCATTCAAGTATACTTTTTGCTGATGCTTTCTACATTTGTGTGTTACCTCATTTCCGTCATCTAATCAAACTTCATAAATTTCTCAGCGTCCTCATGTGGGACAGTGTATAAAACTGTTCCGATAACACCGTGTGGTTCTCGTAGATGGTCTTCAGAAACCTTCACTTTTTTCATCAACCTACGTGCAGTTAGTACATGAGCTAGAAAGCACGGATGTATGTGCTGTTATATATTCTGTGATCATTATCTAGATAAAGGGTAAAGTATTCGCGAAAAGAGGACATATCATGCACTGAACCGAAACGCAGACTCACTCGCTGGATTTCGTATGGAGCGGTTGTGCCCCCGCGATCTCCGACGACAGCGCAGCTCTGGCCAACTGGCTCGCCCTACGCCATCTCCTGACGCCGACAAGAGCTCTCACCGAGTGGCGCCCCGCCCTCAGACTCCTGCGACCATGTCCATCTTTCTTATCTCCTTGTTACTTTCGTATGTCGCTGCCCCTGCGCCACGCTCTCTCCTTCCTGCTCTCTATATCTCTATACCTTTATTCCTATTCTTTTAATCCCTCCTTACCCCCATCCCTCGTGAGCTACTGTTGAGGTATTGCACTGTGAGAGCCAGGAGCAAGCCCGTTTTATAGCAATTGGCCCGCCGCAGCAAGACAGTGTGCTACGAGCGCATCCACGATCATCGTTTTCCTCTTCTACCTACGATCGATGCGCTGGCGGCTGGCACTCCCAGCACGTGTAGACCAGGACAACGGACACCCGAGGGACAAGGCTCAACCCTAACGTGTTTTGTACCTAAAAAGGAAATCAGTTACCTTGGTTCGGGGTCGAACGTTTGAATATTTCGTGAGTTGTACAGAATGTTCTCAGACTTGCAGAAAACAACCACCAGTCAATGTTTTTCTGGGCGTTAACGAAACTTCGAGAGCTACAAACATGAAATTTCCCCGGCAGACTTTTTTAATTAGCTCATTTATCATACTTAGTCTAGAATGCTACAGTTGTTTAGGAACAACTTGCATGGTTTCAGTGATACGGCCGTACAAATATTTTGAAGATCTATTCGTACTTAAAACTTTGCCGGCGACCTAGTTAATGCATATATATATATATATATATATATATATATATATATATATATATATATATATATATATATATATATATATATATATATATATATATATATATATATATATATATATATATATATATATATATATATATATATATATATATATATATATATATATATATATATATATATATATATATATATATATATATATATATATATATATATATATATATATATATATATATATATATATATATATATATATATATATATATATATATATATATATATATATATATATATATATATATATATATATATATATATATATATATATATATATATATATATATATATATATATATATATATATATATATATATATATATATATATATATATATATATATATATATATATATATATATATATATATATATATATATATATATATATATATATATATATATATATATATATATATATATATATATATATATATATATATATATATATATATATATATATATATATATATATATATATATATATATATATATATATATATATATATATATATATATATATATATATATATATATATATATATATATATATATATATATATATATATATATATATATATATATATATATATATATATATATATATATATATATATATATATATATATATATATATATATATATATATATATATATATATATATATATATATATATATATATATATATATATATATATATATATATATATATATATATATATATATATATATATATATATATATATATATATATATATATATATATATATATATATATATATAAAACGAACTTCGAGACCTACAAACATGAAATTTCACTGGCAGACTTTTTTAATTAGCTCATTTATCATACTTAGTCTAGAATGCTACAGTTATTTAGGGACAACTTGCATGGTTTCAGTGATACGGCCGTACAAATATTTTGAAGATCTATTCGTACTTAAAACTTTGCCGGCGACCTAGTTAATGCTCTCTTGCCACTTGGCGCAAGGTTCCCGCATATCCCTTGTTCCGCAGAAGAGGACAAAACATCTTTACACTTAAACAAAACACCCCAGTTTAGCAAAAAGTTGTAATAGTATTAACAATAGTAGTTCGGAAACCTGCAAGTACATCGATTCAATTTTTTAAACGAGTAGCCAGTTGAACTCACCTTCCACGTGGTGTTGAGCTCGTTGATGAAGTCGATGATTTCATCCGAGAATGGATTCAAAGAATACGGTGTTGTGCCACCGCTCACTGTGGCTACCAATGCGATCGCCAACGACACCCTAATCATGGCTGCCCACGTTAATTCAGTGGCCTATCTATTCTAGAACCAATGCGTACTCGTTCCCTAAGCAACGTGCACTCTGAAGCTCTGTGGGTCAGTTTGTAAGGTGTTGACTATTTTATACTAGTTGCTGGTAGTTGAATCAGCGTCAATGCAAAAGCGCGCAATGTAAACGAGTTTTGTGAACTGTTTTAGTTTTATTTTATGCCCTGCAGCGACGGCCATGGCTTTGATTAACAAGCTTTCGTCTACACACTTCCGAAGAGTTTGTTTTTTTCTCTGCGCACAATTTCATTTTATGTTCATCTCTAGCAGAAGCCAGTAGTCAGGTAAGCGTTTCACGTAGCTGTCTGCTTTCATATCGATATTCTCATATATCCTATTGCCGTCTAATTTCCACACAAATAAAGAAACAACAAGACACGCGTGCGTGCCAAAAAGCTTTTGCTATATCCTTGCAATTTCATGCAGGCTTAAACGCTAAGAACATTGTGTGTGCATCTAGCCTGTCTGCACGTGCCTTTTTCTGTCAGCGCTCAACGAGACTTCCAGCGGCACGTTTTCCAAGCCAGCGTTTCTCGCGGCAAGCTTGACAGGATAGATGATTGAGGTCGTCTGAAATACGCCTGTCAGCAGACGGACGAGACGCTTATGTACTCTGTTTCGCCGCAGTCAATGAAATCAGCGGAAACACTGCTAGCTCTCCCGATTGACGCCACTGTTCATTCGTTGTAGAGAAATGTAACAAAATGCCGACACCACGAGCACCTGGGGGTTCGCGTCTAGCCGCTGATTCTTTCTTTGCTGTAAGACATGCTAAATAACTGCGCTCGTGTGGGACATAGAGTTCCCTAAAATTAACTATATAGAGGACACTGGCGCTGCGATCGTTCAGCCACAGTGTCAATGGTAGATTGAACCATATATATATATATATATATATATATATATATATATATATATAGGGGACACTGGCGCTGTGATCGTTCAGCCACAGTGGGAATGGTAGATTTAACTATATAGGGGACACTGGTGCTGTGATCGTTCAGCCACAGAGGGAATGGTAGATTTGCCTACGCGGATTTGCCTAGTCTTCGCGCTCGAGGACCTTGAACACACTTATGGTTTCATTTATTGCTGCGTTTTGGTTTTCTTTCAAATAAAATAAAAATGGGTCATTGTGAGCTTTGTGACCACTTTTAAACTGGTGGCCCTAAAAGATTAAAATTGCGAAGGGCAACTGCTGAACACTTGTCGATTGTCGTTGCGTGACAGAGCAGCTCCATGCCACACGAAGCCAAACGTAGCCGAAAGTACGAAGATAAGAGAAATTTGTGTACTTACGTACCTATCACTGCCATGCTAAAGGGGCGCCCTGCGCTGCAGCTCTCATAGTAGCTCCCTCCAGTGTGTAGATAGAAAACTCTACGGTATTTATTTATTTATTTATTTATTTCGACATACTGCCAATCCCATCAGGGATTTTAGCAGGAAGGGCGTGAACATAAAAATTCGAATAAGTACACAATAAAGACATACATCGCGATAAAGTAGAGAATGAAACTAACAGAATCGGATCATTTAACAATTTCAGATCAATGAAGGCATAAAACATTAGTGTAAAGAAAAGTTGTCAGAAGAAAATAAATGCAGCGACTTGGTTGACACATTGGTTGACATATTGGCATATGCATCAAGAAACACAACAAGAAATTACAGCAATAAGAAACTACCCTACAATATGGCGAAGTATTTCAAGGAAGGGCAAATTTATACACACTGAAAAACAGAAATATGTTCAAGAATCAACAGAGCGATTTCTCTTCACCTGGATTCAGTACTAAAAATTGCTTGAAGAAAAAAAATATGATGACATGATACTTCGCTCGTACAATGTTCACACGAACAGTCATATTAAAATCAACCAGGTGATTCCGTTTGCATAATACAAAGTTCATTTTCGACAACGGTTAGCAATTTTGCTAATTCGGTAGTGCTGGAGATACTGGGATCCAGTTTATTCCATTCATTAGTGGCTATCGGAAAGAATGAGTACTTAAAGCAGTTTGTGTTGAAGGAGTATTCGTTAAGTCTCATTGGGTGTTTTTGGCGTGTTGTTCTAGTTTGATCAAACGTAAGATAGGCGGATACATCAATGTTTAAATGACCATGGATTAATTCATGTATGAATTTTGCACGTGCTAACCTTGTTCTATTCATTAGAGTAAGTAATCCAGCTTTTTTAATTAGTTTAGTCGGAGAATCTGTATGTCTGTACTTGTTGTAAATGAACCTCATAGCTTTCCTTTGTATTCCTTCCAGTTTCGTGATTTGCTGTTTTGTGAATGGTGACCAAATAATATTACCGTATTCAAGTAATGATCGCACAAGGGAAGTGTATGCAAGCAGTTTTAGAGAAGGCTGGGCCTGGCGAAGCCGGTATCTTAGTGCAAACAAGCGGCGTAGTGCAGCTGAAGTAACGTAACTTATGTGTGCGTCCCATCTTAGATCTTCAGTTATAATAATTCCAAGATATTTATGCTGATTTACTCTAGTTATGGGAATGTCATTGATAGTGTAAAGAAAATTTGACCTAGTTTTTTTTTCGACTTACTGATGAAATTGTACACTTGTTTGCATTAAGGGACATCTGCCATTTACGGCACCAGCAGGAAACATCTTGTAAAGCACTATTTAAAGCTACATGGTCCTCCGTTGAGTTTATTTCTCGATATAGCACGCAGTCATCCGCGAATAATTTGATTTTTTCCTTAATATTTGAAGGCAAATCATTAATAAAGAGAAGAAACAAAATTGGCGCCAGCACACAGCCCTGCGGAACTCCAGATGTGACGGAGGTGGTAGCAGAGGTTTCATCGTTAAATTGCACATAGTGTGTACGATCAGTAAGATAATTTTTGATCCAGTTAAGAATCTAGGTGGGCGCTTGCCAGAACTGCCTGATGCTACTAAACTAATAACAAGCAAACAATTATCACACAACGAGGTAGGGAAAAAAAGCGGCACGACTTTCGCGATGAAGGCCAACGGAAGCGGAAACTTATTGAATTTTCTCATTCTTGAAAATAGTTTAATTAGAACAAAAAGATGTCACTTATATACAAATGGGAGTTCAAGACATCGACGTAAATATTTCATATGGCGAAAACATTCGGAAGTATGGAAGACATCACATATTTACATTTTGACGTTGGCTCCAGGGTTAGCCCGCATTTGGTTGAATGCACATTTCTCAGTGCATGAGTAACGTTACGTTCTGATTCTCCCAATGTATACATTTGACTTCAACACTCAACTACACAGTGTCATTGACAAACACGCTATTAGTGAATACCAAACGCACCATTCGTGAACGTCGTCACGTTGAAAAATACAGCATTTGTCACTAAATGTGCAATGTTTGCTAGAAAAATTCAAATAATCTCAATAAACGAGATAAGCGACTGCAGACTTTTACGAGTAAAGTGGCAAAAAAAATCCCGAATCCACCTAATATAAGTGGTACTGGTAACACTGGCTTTTGCTACTTGTGTAGTTGTTACGTGAATCCGGGTGACGTAGTAACATTACTGATTGTTCTAGCGGGAGCGGACGTCACTGAGCGGGAGCATATTGCACTAGACAGCTTTATAATAGCATTCTTAGCGCTAGCGTTTGTTCGGTATGACGCACTACTTTCTTAACTTAACCTGAGTACCCGTTAGAATAGCGTATGAGGCATGCACAGTCACGACGAACACTAACGCAGAGCTTTGAGTACCCTATTGTAAAACAGCCCACTACAAAAACCATTGCGTTAATTGACTGAGCATTTTCGTGATGTAAATGAACTTACTCGAGTTAAGCACACTCTCTTAATTTCCTAATAAAATGGTGTGAAATAGCATGATGTTCATCTTATTAAGATGTCAATACTGCATTAGCATTAGCTCCAAAAGGCCCCGCCGCGGTGGTCTAGTGGCTAAGGTACTCGGCTGCTGACCCGCAGGGCGCGGGTTCGAATCCCGGCTGCGGCGGCTGCATTTCCGATGGAGGCGGAAATGTTGTAGGCCCGTGTACTCAGATTTGGGTGCACGTTAAAGAACCCCAGGTGGTCTAAATTTCCGGAGCCCTCCACTACGGCGTCTCTCATAATCATGTAGTGGTTTTGGGACGTTAAACCCCACATATCAATCAATCATTAGCTCCAAAAGCTTTTTTCACTTGCACTTTAGTCAGATCCTATTACGTGAACACGTGATTGAAGTACGCATGTCTGAAATCGCGCACTGTGGGCTTCACTCAGACGGATATCACAAAATAGCTGTGACAGGAAAAGTTTTCTATCGAAATAGTGTATAGATTATTATTTTTATAGAAACATTATTTTCCTTTTTCTTCAAAAAAAACTTTGCTTGACCTTTACGTGTGAGACATCAATTTTTTCACTAGAGAACCCTACGTTTTACTAAGGGTTGTTTAAGGATATTTTATGACCGTAAGTGAACTATTTTTTATAAGTTCTGTACCAGAAGTTAGCTCTGTAGTGCAGACTATGGTGTTGATAAAACAGAAACGTATTCAATAAAACTATGTCAATATCGAAACAGTACTTTCTTACAAAAAAAGGAAGCAGAACTTGCTAACTTCCAGATAGTAATGGTTTGGAACGATTATTACCAGTACTGCTAGTAACTGCAGTTAGTAACGGCGAGGGTGGCAACATTTACTACACATTTAATTACCTTAACCTTTACTAACCATAAAGAGTAAATTATAAAGTTGTAAGAAAAAATAGTAACTAACACTACCATGATACTATACACTGCACAGTACAAAGTATGCGATTTCTAGGAAATTTATAGCTCCCATTTTTCATATACATGCAAGGTACCAGTGGGAAATTGTGTATTAGGATGAACTATGAAAAATATAAATCCAGGGCACAATATCTTAATACCTGATTACGCATGTATGGGGACGTAGCAAAAGACTTTATTTCGGCCGTATTAAAGAATATGTCATATCAATTGATTATGAAAGCTTTACAAGAAAACAATCTGTAGAGCAGCCAAAACAAGGTACCGAACTCGTCAACAT